GAGGGCGAGCAGCAGCGCCCCGGCCTGCGGGCACAGCTTTCAGCACCGTCCGCTCCGCAGCAAACCCCGCTTCAGCCGCCCACCTCTGCCGTCCCTTGTCACCCTTTTGGCTGCTGCTTCTTAAGCTGCTCCCACCTGTCCCGCCGGCCCCGGACCGGCGGCCCCGGAGGAAGCGCCGGGCGCTTCGCCGAAGCTGCTGCTGCCGCCAAAAGGAGCGTTTGTCAAACTACAGTTTTGGGACCGAAGGAAGGTGTAGTCTTGTATTCAACGCACCGATTTACAAGGGTTTGATGGTGGTAACGACTGTAATATCAGGGTTATCGATCAAATCTTCCCTAGCAATGAAGGCAACACAGTAAAAAGTTTCTGCTTCCTTCAGTGCTGCATCACAGGAAACAAAATAAAAGCAGGAGTATGCAGAAAACAGACTTCCATGATTAAATCCTCTCTCCTGGGATGCTGCTTGCTGGCTTTCCTGAATGAGCAGCAGATGGAGGAAAAGCTACCATCTCACTGACAGTGGGACAGCCAAGATATTAATTAACCCTTGCTGAGCTGAGCCATGAGAACCTCTATACTCCATATATAAATTACTGAGGAGCCCACAGCAAAGCAGTCCCCACAGGCTGCCTGACCCTCCAGTGGGCACCGTCTGGGAATCAGGCCCATCTCCCTGCTACTGCTGGAAAGCCGGCAGGCTGCGCAGAGACAGGTGGAGACACCGTGGATCAGTGGGATTGCTGCCGGAGGTTCTCCAGCGCTCACAGTCCACTGAAGCTGCATGAACGCCCCACAGGTTTTGAGGACTGAAAGTTTTCAGTGGACAGGCATTCAGGGTTGGAAGTCAAACCTACCCACCTAGAAAGCGGCAGTTAAACGCGTCACACCAGAGACTCGCTCTTGCCAGATGCTCGCCCTTCTGAGCTGATCCTGCAGAAAAGCAATTCGATGCACGTGCACATTTTAGTTTACTCCTGTCTAATCAGTGGAACTATCTCCATGCCGTGCCCAGAGAGCTTAGCACACAGCGAGGGAAGGCTGGGTACTTGTACTGGCTGCTCTGCCTCAAGCCTGTTTTTTCATGTAGACATGTCCCTGTTTTCATCTTCACAATTTTTTTTTCTCACGTTACATAGCCACGTGTAAAATAGCGTATAGAAACACAGAGGAGCTACAGTGAGAGCAGTGATGTACAACTAACTTTGGAGAGATCTATAAATGCATTTCAGCTCATAAACAACTGGGCTGCATTGAACTGCAGTGAGACTTGATGTCCAGAAAATATAAATCCTGTAAAAGAAGACTTCAACCAACAAAATGGTATGATAAGCATCTGTAAAGACCGAACACCAAGAAACTAAATAGATGATATCCAGTATGCTATGATTTTTTCGCCCAGAAAAACTAAAGAGCTATGACTTCTACATACACAATTTATATTGCAGAGGATCCTGAAAGACCCCAGGCACCATTCACATAAGCAACTTAACCTGCCCTGAAGTACAACCACTTACAGGATGGAATGTAGCAACCACCCAGGAGGAAAAGACTATGCAATATTTTGAAAGGTTTTCCTTTACTGCACAGAAGAAATTTAAAGGTAGGGAGCACTGATTTGCCCAGATGGGAATCTAGCTAGGACACATACACAACTCAACCTCATGATGAATGCGGTTTCAATAAGAATGAAGGGCCTCCACTATAAATATCAGTTAGCCAGCAGTTTAGTCCAGCAATATTTTGAGAACACTGGTTGAACACTAGATCAAAATATGCCCTGTATATGGGCCTAGTCAAAGACACCATTTTCTCTGAAGCTACTGATTTCCTTCAGCATCTCAAACCAACCAGGTTAGATCCTAATTAGTTCATGAATTTGATAAAATCAGACATCAACATCATGGCTGTAAAACCAGCAAGTCCATTAACGAGAAGTTAAACCAAGAAAATATCTTTTACTGTACAGAAGCAGATGCTTGTGCTGTAGTGGAACAACCCCATTAAAACCAGTATGGATGCCCAAACACAGCTGAAAGTAGAGGTTGGGAAAAAAGGTCAACAGAGATACTACTGAGAGTTTAGGTAGGAAAGCGATGGGGACTTCTCCACCAAGCTTTCAATGCCACCTCTGTCTGCTCTTTCTCCTGAGTATTTATACCTCATCTGCCAACTTCATTTTTACCTCACTTGGGCATATCTCTACTCCCTATTGGCACTCTTGGCAAAACAGACAAGTTCTGGGGCCGCAATATGATTCAGTAGAAAACCTGGAAGCAAGGAGTGGAAAGGCAATAGCAGCTTTCATGGTCACTTCTTCCTCCTTCTTGAGGCAGAGCTGGGATGACAGGAAGAAAGCGGCAGTGTGATTTTTAAAAAACACTTTTGCGTTCTCCACCAGCTGGAATGCAGGAACCAGCCAGCTCCCACTGTGGTAATTTATTCTCTAAATCGAGACTTCCCCTCCCCTCTCGTTTCTATCCCTGCTTCTTTGGCAGATTAGTTTTAACCTGTTCTAATTTGTCATGCAACCCCACAAACAGCTGTACTGATGCAACTGATGCAAAAAGAAGCCTAATGCAAAAGAATCAGAGAAATATGAGGACTACTGTGCCAGTTAAAAAAATAAAAATCCACTGTTTCTATCACTAATAGGAGCCAGTAAGTCCACAAAGACTTTCTCCTTGCCCCAAAGGTAGGCAAAGCTCTAGCAGCTTTCCATGCTTTCTCACTCTATTCATTTTTCCTGCCAAAAATCCTACTACAGTACGATAGCCTGGAAACGCTTTTCGGCAGGAAAAGTTAGCAGTGGCGAAATCAGGCTGAGCCAGTGGAACTTGGCTTCCAAAACAAAAAAATGTGACAATGCACAGAGCCAATGAGGGAAAGAAGCTCTTGCAGTAAAAGCATCATTAGAGCTGCGTCCCTGTCCAACGCGTCACTGAGATCTGTGAGGACACAGCGGGAACACATTTCTGCTATCAAATCAAGACAGACAGGCAGCAAAACAACTATCCCTGTTTTTCCCTGGTTTTACATGTCACCTGCAACTTCCCTTTCAGTTTCAGTATTTATTTTGACTTGTTTTTGTTGCCATTTCTTGTTTGTCTTGCATACATGTGACTTCCTTCCATTTCACCACAAATTTCCACCAAATAAAACCATATGCACTGCCATAGCAACATTTTAATACAAACACAGTGTAATCTTTGTTCACTGAAGTACACAGTTAATTTTTTTTTCCTCTTATTAACAGAACCTGCATCTGCATGCAGTTTAACTGAATGTCATAGCAACAACATAAACACAAATTCAAGATATTTTTTCTTCTGGAGGAAGAGTAAATGTTTTCAGGAAAAGAGCGTGGGACTTAAGAAAGCAGACTGAAATGTTTGTGACCAAATACGGCATGAAGTTATATCATCACAGCTATATATTTACTCTCTGAAAGCCTGCTCTTGCAAAGTGTTACACATTTTCAGTTCCTACAGATGTCAATAGAGAACAGTCATATCTGGCAGGGCAAGGTCTGAATCACAGCTATGCTTACACGCAAAACGTAGGTGTGACTTGCTATCAGCACTATGGTGAACTCAGAAACTGATGTACTCTTTTAGACAAGAGTGCATGTTCTGCATGGTAAACAGCTTTACTCCTAAAGAGAAGTAAAACTGCTCTGTTCGAGTGGAGTAACAAACACTGGCCCAGCACGCCTCTAAGACCTAGCGCCAACCACGCATTTTGCAGCATGATCCTCTCTTCCTCTATGGATCAACAACTCCTAAGGCAGACATAAATACAGTAAAACCCAGAATTCAGATGTGTTCATTCAAAACTTAGCTGTTACACTGACAGGGGGTATAACGTTGTTTACCCCTGACAATACTTCAATAACTTATGCCTCACACCCCCAGGAAGTTATACAAAAAAGGAAAAGAACCATGTCCTCTCATATGGCTGACTCAATCCTACCTCTTGGCTATTGCTAGGCACTTAGCTATGCTCTATTTTTGTCCTGCATGGCTTGTGAGAAGGATGACTTCATTAAGCTTTTAATTTTTTTTTTAAGTAGTGCGTCGATTCAGGACAAGAGCCTTTACTCTCTGCTTTGTAAGCTGATGGTCCTTCAGCTCATGTGTGCTGTGAGGGCTCAGCGTTTGAAATCTGAAAAGTCTAAACATCAAAAGAAATGCCCTAACAATGCTACACACAGATAGCTTGCTCCTTCTGTGACAAGCAGTTTATAGAGGCAAATAAACAAGTAAGCGTAATAGGCATAAAATCAAGCACTCAATGCAAGCTGGTGTTGACTGGCGAAGATTAAAACAACGTCACACCGTTTTCATTCACAGACATCATCTGCGCTGAATCAAGGCAGAGTCCTGTAGGGATCCGCGTATAATATGATTACAATAGTATGTTTTCAAAATGGACAGAACTGAAGTCTTCCAGGCAGCCTCAGCTCCATGTCTTAAATTTCAAGTGCTCGACTAGAAATTTAAAAATACAGCTTTTAAAGATGTATTTTCTCCCTTCAGTTTATTACACAGTGTTCGTTCTGGGTTAAGTCACTCAGAGAGGAATTAAAAACTTCCCCTGACCGTCTATGAAAGCGTTAGAAACCATCTGCCCAGCCAAAGAGTGCATAAACTTCGATTAAATCAGTAACCTTATTATCATGAAGAATTACCATTGTTACAGGACCTGCACTAGTCACCTGTCATCAGTAAGGCTGTACTTTTAGCCAGAGATCATTTTGATTTGATTTTATAAACAAAAAATGAACAAGTTTTGCTGAACTGAATAAAAATCTTTGAATTCCATCTTGACTTGCATTAGATAAATCACCACTGTTCAAACTAGCGTAACTGTTATCAAAACCAAATAAAAATAGGTAAATAGTAACTTGGGAATGAATGGCAAACACTACCAGGGCCTTTTACTCTCAATTTGATTGAACTCTGGAAGATGATTCCTAGCTTTGTTTGGGAAATTTCAGTTCTAGTAACCACCACAGGAATGCTCCTTAATAATTTCCTAAAACCTTCTTTAATGTAGGAAAAGATTTAAATCTGTAGGATAGATTTAACAGCATCTTCATTTGAAAACAAATTATGGTTGCGTTTGGCTCACAAGGAAGTTTAAACTAGATTTATATAAGAAAAAAAAGCAGACAAACTCTTTCATACAATTAATGAAAACCTCCCAGAGTGTAGGAAAGTAATGCAAATTACAAATCTGCGTTCCTCAGCCAAAGACTAATCACACACACATGCAGATCAACATTAATATTTGCAGCACTCTCATTTCCACTGTGTGCTATGAATCTTAACAGAAACATCACGCTTTTACTCCAGATGAAACATTTTCTGGCAAACGAACTGTGGCAGTTTTGCTGTTCTGCTCTTTTATTGGTGTTATTATGAATGGGTTCAAGACTGGTTTAATGTAATTTGTGGCTACTAAGTCAGCATGCAGTAATCACTGATTAGGAAAAGCTTATTCACTTTCACTGAACTGAAAAAATATGAAAGCAGTACCTATAGGTAGGAATCTCAGTCCTTTAAAAAGGGTTAAAAAAACAAACACTGAAACAAGAGGTGGGCAGAGGACCAACAATGACTAAAAAAGAAAATAGAGCACAGGTGGCTACTGCCAGGCAAGAAGAAAAACTCCCCTGTTTTACCAGGGGTTGCAAAACACGTAAGAAAGAGGACATGTGATACCACTGTGAGAAAAAGTGGTATGTGACTACAAAAGTCTGACGCTCTTTCCAAACTTCAGTAGTTCGATGTCACGGCGAACAATTTTTTAATGACGATTTGTTTGCAAAAGCGTGAGAAAAAAAAATTTCTAAAACTCTGAACATCTCAAAAATCCCCTCCACGCAGCATGACTGGTAAGGAACTGACAGCCTGGTGCCCTGAAGCCTA